AAACATGTGTTTTTACTGACCTAAAAACTTGCTTGTTGTTGTAAGTGGGCTCACCTCTCCGTAGGTCTGACATGTAACTGGGCCCTGCAGCTTCACCGGCTGTCTCCGTAGAGATAAATAAGTGTAATGCCATACTGTGGAACATTCCAGGCAGTATCTCCATGGAGACAACCAGGTGACAGACCCTCCACCAGAAAAGTTACACAGTGCAACTTTAAGTAACAACATTGAGTATTTCTTCCAGCACTGCTGTATATACTGTAAAAGTTCTATCTTTACCCATTTTGACATATGCAAAATAAATCATCTGAATTCCTGTCACACAGAGAGAAAACGCTGCTTAATAACAACATTCCAAATGAGAGTCTAATGTATCCTCTCTCCATCTGAATTAGAATGCCATCATTACTATTCCGACTGGGGAATTATACACTCCATCAGCTGGAATAAGCAGTTTTCCACCAACGAACCAGCATCCTGTGTGACGCATGTGTAATCTTTATCGACAAAAACAAGCTATGCACACTCACACACACACACATAGCCTGACGACATAGTAAAAGGTTCATACTTTTAAGCCTCGAGTAATTTACCACGGCAACAGAACGCAAGTTTCTACAAAAAGTGCTCGATGTGCAGAAATGTGTAACAGGCACATGCAGAATACAGAAGTGGATCTGTGAGGGAACATGTAATCTAATACATAATAAATGGTCCCTGCCTCAACATGTGTTTCATATGGTCAGTTTACCAAAACAAACAAAGCTGCAACTGTTTTAATTGCTTAACTTTTGTGCATAGAACTGCTTAGGAAGAAATGTTTAAAGGTGCGGTACGAAACTTTTTTTGGTGGAGGGGCCTATCTCCATGGAGACAAGCAGTTAACGTGACCATGCCAAGTTACAGGTCCATTCTATGAGGTGACTCCACTCTCAGTAAGACTGCATATTTTAAAGGTCTTTTTGCAATACAATATATAATACAATATATGTGTGTAGTCTAAAATACATGGGAGTCTGTAAATTTGTATCTGCCCTCACATTTAATAAAAAAAAAAAAGTTGTATAGAGGCTACTAAATGTGTGTTGTATGCACTATGCACACTCCTTAGAAGAGGAAAAACAGTCCGTTGTGCAGTTAACATTCCTCTAACAACTTTTGGCTGGTAGCTGCTCGGTTAAATCATCTGCTAACAGAGGCATGTGGCTCTCAAATCTTGTTTACTTCATAATTTTAGCATGTAAACAACCAACATGCAGGCTTTCCGATACGTCCAGATTGTTCAGTGTACTGAGACCCAAATATTGAGAGAGGAGAGATGGTGCAGCAGACAGCATGTACCAGCACCATTCATACTCCCGCTGTTATCTAGAGCATCTTAAGTGCATCCATTTGTATTGACGCTCCCAGTGGGGAATTAGGCCCTAACCCTGCAACGCTGCTCTCCTCCATTACAGCTTTACAGGGCTACAAAATGTTTTCCACCTATGTTGAAATGAGACACGATGGATGGAAAATCTGAATCAGAGTACACCCACTTCAATAACGCTTTTATAATGGAAGTAATAAACACTTTACTGTAGAACATGGAAACATAGGGAGCAATTGTATTTATTATCACATTAAATATTATTTCAGCTGGTGAGACATTTTGGATGTTTTGTCGTTTTGAGTGGTTGGGGGTGGTTTATGTAAAAAGCCTAAAAAAGAGTGTTATGAAACCAGCTCAATCACCTAAAACTATGCATAATCACATCAGAATTTGAATGGAAATCAGACACATTGTTCTAAACAGAGGCAGCATATGCTCATTGCATGCATTATCATGTTTCAGAAGAATGCAATAATCATCTAGTCTATGTGACAGCTAGCTATGTCCATACAGTCTATGATCTGAATGTAAGGCAGGTTTGAAAGCATTATGATCAAAATAAATAATAAAGGTGAACTGCATTCCTGCCACCTGCTGTCCCCATTAAGAAGCTATTGCTGTGCCTGCATGTTCCAGTTTGTTGTTAAATTTCTGTCTTGCATTTATTCCTTTCTTCAAAAATACCTTCTTTCTGTGATTCTCCTTATGGTATCACCTGTCTGTCTCCATGGATGTAGATAAATTTAATACCATACTGTGGAACAATAAAACATTCATCGAGAGAACAATGTGCAACTTTAGATGTCTTCATGAAATCATCTGAGCTACCGCATTTTTCTTTTGAGCAAACTTAGTGGTACAAGTCTTCACTGGCAGATTGATGCTCTTGTTCACAGTCTCTCTCCTAAGTGGAAGCCCCCCTTGCATTCTTCTCATCCGAGTTTGAGCCAACAGCCGGAGGGCACAATCACCCAGCTGAAAGCCAATCAAGCAGCTTATTAAACATGACACTGTGAGCGCACTTGATACAGGGAAGGACGCGGGCTCCAGGGCCATGTGCCAATTAGGAAAATCCGATCCATCATCTCTGCGGACGTGATCAAGCTCTCATTTATGTCTTTTGCACAAATCTTTTCTCCGGCGCCGGAAACTGCAAGGGCCCAAACAACCGGACCAAAGACCACTTGACTCTTGTAAAGATAATACTGGTTACACGTGATCGGGTAGAATGACATTACATGATTATGATATGCTGTAAAAACTGCCAATAAATACCTTGTATCAAGTGATTTAAGTTGTTTTCTTGCTCCTCTGGTTCACCTCTTTCACCTATTTTTTATTTCTTTGATATATTAGTTTAGCATTAATATCATCCAGCTTTTGTGGCTTTACTTCCCTTATGTGAAGTTACTTAATAAAGCGTTAAGTACAGTACACTCTCAGCAATATCGCACAGTCTGTGTGTCCTTGGGTACTTGTAATTTCCCTGTTTGAGTGGTGATCAGAAGGCTATATACAGAATCACAGTTAAAGAGTGAATGAATAACAAATGCACCAAATTGTAAAAAGCATCAATAAAAGTGCTACAATGAAGTGGCTATATGAGCTTTTAATCATTTTATAATGGTGTTCCCTCATCAGCAGCTTACTAAGAGTTATATTTCAACTGATCTGTGCATGTTTGATTAAAACTGCATTGTCCTGCATTTTAGTTTTGAGTGCTCAGAAAATGTTTGTTTTCAACTACCCCCTATCTCCACCCTGCGTGCTGTACTTACTTGTTAGGTTATTTTATTTGCCATTCGTAGCACACTGGAAAAACATGTGCAAAAAATCAATACAGACAACATATAGCATTGTGAAACAAGATACAGAGATAAGTAGGCAAAATTCACCAAATTTAGATTCAAATGGTTAAAAATCAATTTCTGCTGCTTGTGATAAAATGTCACTATCTATGTTCAGGACTAATGATGCATGTTTAATACTAAATACCCAAACTTAAGGGACGTACCACACACATAATTGGTTAGATTGAATGTCACTCATTCTCTTCAAATTCTCCCATTCACAAACAGCTCACAGTGACACTACTATAGATTATATAGGGGATTCTCACTGGTCCAAAAGCTTACAGTCCATTACAGTATAGCAGCTTTGCACATTATCTTCCCCTTTGAAAATAGTCTTTGACATCTTGTCCCGCTGGCCACAGTCGGTCTCACGGAGCAGTTTCAAAAATAAACAGAAGCCAGACAGTTTACACACCGAGAGCCCACTCCAGTCAGCTATTCATCACAATTTAGCCCCAGCATTAGGTGCTAAGGGACAATCAGAGCCTCTCCAAAACACAGACACTGCAGACACTTCTCCTCCCATGGCACTCATCTCATCCTCTATTTGTCAGCAAACTCTCCAGCCACTTTAATTTGGGCTATATGTTTACAGCATCAAATCTAGTTCTTCAAATTAGGGTATTACTTTCTATTTATTATATTTTGATATCGAAGTGTTTCTTAACATTCATCGTTATGGAATATTGAAGTTTTTTGTGTTTGGCATGATCAAGATCAATTTATGTCCATTACAAGTGATGCTGTGTTAAAATGTGAATGTGAAAGAGGGGATTTGTCAAAACTCCCATCTGAAACAATGTCAACAATATGATATAGAGCAGGGGTGGGCAATTATTTTTTTCATGGGGCCACATGAAAAACAGAAAATGTTGTGGAGGGCAGGGCCAAAATGCTTAACTCAATTCTGCATAATATTAATTGCATTTCTTTATTAAAAAAAGACTGGTAAGATTAGAAAGAGTTTATGTTATGACTAAGCAATGAAAAAGTCGGGTTGCCTTACAAAAAATGTCATTAAAACACCTCTAAAATAAAAGCAGTGCAGCTTTAGCCCCTGAATGGCATATGTTTATTTTGTAATTCCAAATTAGCTTAAAGGAGCCATTCAGAGTCAACCAAAGGGCCATATGTGGCCCGGGAGCTGTACAATGCCAAGGTCTGATACGGAGTAAACATGTGGACAGTGACACAGGCCTGTAGCACCACCTACTGACAGCATCTATTATTTATTTTCGCATGCTTATTTCACAATATATTTTTTGTGTTATTCTAATAGATACAAATATAGTAATAATACAACCAACCTGTTAATTAGTGTAAATATAATGTAAGTATAATATAAATATAGCAAATGTTGCACGGTTCACCTCTGCTGCAGTGACAGTCAACGCAACATACTCAGGGTGATATTAACTCGTAAATTTTGATCTATCGAAGTTTATCGCTATTTACAAAAACATTTACTTAAAACTTGTAGGCAAACCACAGCCAATTTTTCACCCCTCTAGAGGAGGAAATGCAATCACTGGCACTGTCACTTTGTAATCTTTTTTCTTTTCTTTTCAAAATTAAGTAGTTTTTACATGTAACAAAATATTTTGCTACATGTAACCAGGTATGTCCACCAGCAGAGGGAGCCAACACGATACTTTAATAAATAGGCCTCCAAAAATAAACCGAAGTGCGTTTAAGTCTGCCTTGTAACAGCTGATTCGACCTTTGATACAGAATCCTAACTTATTAGACCAAAATCAGATGCACAAAAACATTGGTTTAGTCTACCAAATGTAAAAATAATTTATTGACCACAGAGCTACAAACACAAATTAAGCCTACTGGACAATGGGACACATTTGAGTAGTGATGTTTGTGAGTGTAAAGTTAAAGTCCACATAGAGGCAGTGCCACAGTTTGTTGATATGACTTCTTTCATTGTAACAAGCAGCACAAGTCCAGTCCACCCGGCAACAGCAGCAATGGGAAACCTGAAAGAACATAACACTTGTGAAACAAAACAGAACACCCTGTCTACAATGTAACATTTATTACTGGCCTATAGAGGGACAATATAACATTTAAGCCTATGTCAGTGATTTAGGTTTAGAGCTATAACGAAAAAAATAGAATGGAATAGAGAGTGTACAGATCTTGGCCTAGACATGTGAATGTAACCAGTGTGTTACACGGACGTACAGTGGCTGTACCCTTCAGGACAGATCTATTTTCTTTTGCGTCTCGGACAGTTTGTCTTGTAGCCGTTTTTTCCTCCAGTCTAGAAACTTCCTCCTCATCCTGTTGGCCTGCCAGCCCGCCACGAAGCCCGCAGCAAAGGAGATCACCACCGCCACTTGGAGCGTCCTCTCCGACACTTCTGCCATATTCACCTCTGTCTGACAGATGCACGCATTTCTCTGTAAACCGCACACACTGATCAGGCTGCTCCTCAAGCAGGAAGTGTTATTCACGCGAGAACCAACGAGATTCTCGTAAGAGTTCTTTAGTGTAGCCGAGGCTACACAGTATCCCCACAGAAAATCAAACATAAGAAACTAGTAGAACTACTAAATATGATATGTAAACATGAAATATACACTGGCACATAGGTGTGTTGCCTAATAAAACAAAAATAATCTTAGACTGAGTAGGCCTATGGCTAAACAGATATACAGATCTTATAGCCTATGTAACCTTTAAACTAAATGTATCCTTGCCCTAAATTTAATTTGCTAGTAATAAAAAAAAAACAACGCATTAACAAGAAGGAAACTAAATTAAACCACCACTGAGGAATTCCTACATGGTGCATCCCTATGCGTACAATATTATTTTAAGTAGCATGCCTCGTAAGTAATTAAGCCTATATAATACACTAAACAATGACAATGTTTGATAGGTCACATAATTTTAATGTCTCAGGTCATACAAAAACATGCTGTAGCATGTGGCATGTAGTACGCAGATTGCACAGGTCTATTTAATAACAGTATTGTGTATATATTTGATTGACATTGTGCTGGTTTTGATAAAAAATTTTTTTTTTTGCACAGGTTTAACCAAAAACTACTTCAGAAAAAATCTAAATGTTTATTCTAGCTGTTGTTATAACTTGAGAGGACTTCCTGTTAGAATGCACAGTTGTGGGAAAGTCTAAAGTAGTGGTTTGTGGTGATTCATTTTGACAATGACAAAGCAATCACAAAAACAGGCTACAGTATTCAATGTGTTTTAATGCTATTGTGTGTCCTTGATGTAGTTCTGTATATTGTGTGGCAATAAAATCACTTCAGCTGCAAATCCAAAAGATGTAAGAGTTCAAAAACATTATAACAATAGAAAAGTATTAAAACAATTGAAAGAGTATATACAACACCTAAAATTGACAAATATGGCAATAACTTAAAGCACCATTTTGTTATTGTTTTTATATTGTTGCTCTGAGGTATTGATATGTTGTCTGTTGGTAGCACAGATTTGCTGAACGCAGCTCAAATATCGCACCGGTCCATTCAAAGCTGTACGATATGTTGAAGTCAATGCTATAGACATACTTTGACAATTTTTTCTATTGTATGCTTATGTTCCTTTTGTTGCCAGATGTAAGAGCCTTGTGCTCTATAAAGTCTATTCCTGGCACCAGCTACAGTTGCAGGTTTGAGCTCCCCCATAAATCAGGAGCGACTCTGTTTGAGTTTATCGATGTGGTAGCAGAGCTTTAGAGCTGGCCCCAGCTTCAGCCCAAGGTACTTCATCATCATTTCACTTTTCAGCAGGAGCAGAGCATCCCCATCGATTTCCTAAAACAAAAAAGTTTTATTACAAATCAATTCAAATGTAATCTTTACAGTGAATTTCGAGCTGTGGTGAGGTGTTGTGAGTAATTTGTAGACATAGGGTCACCACTTCCAATTGTAAAAACAGTATTGTATTATAAAAAGAGCGAGAACAAAACAGAGAGACTGGAATAGCAATAACTAATCATATTACAATAATGAATGTCAGTTTATAGATTTGTCAGTATAGAGATCCTTTGCAGCTGACATTATCAACATTCCCTAGGGGTGTGAAGCTAACTGGAAGCAATGCTCTGTTAGAAAGTCTGTTACTCAAGCTAGATGTAAATTACACTTAATCTGAGCTTTATTTTGATTAGAAAAAGATATCTTGGCTGGAACTACAACAGGTGAGCTGATTTGTGCGCTTAAATAAGTCAGTTAGTCACTCTCACATTTCTGTTGAAAATCAAACAAACTAAACAGGACAATGAATGCTTGTATTGATATGTTGTTTACGTCCATTTTTTAATTTTTTCTTCTGTTTTTTTAATTAATTAATTAATTTTTTTACTGTTCAAACTAATTGCTTCTCGTGGGATTAATAAAGTTGTCTGAATCTGAATTTGAAGATCTCTATGTGTTTGCTAATGTGTGTATTGTGTCACCATGGTAACTACTGAACATTCTGCAAATAGAGATACAGGTAGAACACCCCCAGCGTGATATCACTTCCAAGCATTAATAAAAAGTCTATGGTCTTTGTGGGAAAATTTTTTTACAAATCTTTCTTTTTATACAATTCATGTGGATTCAATAGAATAAAAAAAATAATAATAACAAGGGGACAGGGACCTACACAGGTACAGGACAATAAAAAGACGGACAAGTGTCGACCCTATAGGTGTGCCACATTTACATAGACTTACATGTTTCCTGAAGGTGTCTGCGTGAGGACCCAGTGCTTGTGGATCTGCGTCTTGGATGAACCACACCACCTCCTCCACCCCCCAGGTGGAAGGGTCTTTATCAGAGAGACGCTTGCTCTCCCCAGCCTCTAGCACTGAGCTGTACCCTGGGAGGAGTTAAAAACAGAATAGGTGCTTGTTCATAATGTAGATGTTAATTATATCAGAATATTCAAACTCAAATGTTGACTAATACATAAAGAAAAATTTATGACTGCAAATTCTGAACAGAACAAGAAAAATATCAAAAAAAAAAAAAAAACTTTTCCACCTTCTTTGGCCCCACTCACTGACAAGTTTCATTTAAACAGTGAACTAAAGAAAAGTCTCACTGCTAAAATACTAGCCTGACTTGTGTAAACCACTGTGTGCACCACTGTCAGCAATGTGTCCCTTCACTCAGTGGCTTGAATGCAGCTTTGTAGTCTGCTTTGCTGTTATGATCAGAAAATGTCTGCTATGTGTGTGTGGACTTTGATCTCTCAAGAGGAAGTCAAAACCACAGGTTCACAAACTTCTCACCCCAAGTAAGAAAGTCATCTGTCTGAGTACCACCAAATCTAAACCAGGTCTAAAACATGCCTATATTAAGTCTATACTACAACATGATGAATAGTTCTAGAAATAACCCAAAGAAGGACAAAAATTTTAACAAAAGTGACTAAAAAAACAAACACAAGAAACGCAAACCTTGCGTACATCAGTACATGTACCACAGTTTGAGAAACACTGGCCTAAACTAAAGCAAGGTGCAGGGTTATTTAATCATACCAAAGTTGACCTGGGACCCCTCACCATTCCTGTTGGTCTCCTGAAAACATCTTGGGCTTGAGGCCTGTCTACACAGGCACAGGAGTGGGACAACTGCTGCTGCGGAAACCAAAGGCGCGTTTGGGGTGGTACTGAGGAGGCATGCGGCTGAAGGCAGAGTCACTGGGGTCATGAGCGTAGCGCTTGGACTCGACTGGGTCACACAGATACTCATCTGGAGTAGTTGTCTCTGCTGCAAAAACAAGAAAAGGCTAAATCAGTCCATAGTTTAATAATGCAATGTGTGAATCTATTTGAACTAGCTCCAGATAAACAGATTTGTCAAAATGCCAAATTCATATCGATCAGTCATTCCTCTCACTGTGGTTCATGGTCATCTTATTTGAAGGTGCACTATGTAACTTTTCTAGTGGCCACTTTTGTTTGTCCCCTCTGTTGTTGTTATCAATTTGGCTGGAATGTTCCACAGAATATTGCACTAAACTTCTTTGTCTACATGGAGACAAGCAGGCAACTCTTTAAGTCATACCTGTGGAGAAGCAACCCTGCTCCCAATAAAAACACACGTTTTTCTGCAAGTATTTCTGAGCAATAAAAGCACCTGTGATTGAATAAATATAACACGGATTAGTTTAATGCCATGTTGTGGAACAGTCCAGGCAAAGCATTAACATCTTTCAAGAGAAACAAGCAGGTGGTGGACTTAGTTACATAGTGGTACATTTTTCCAATTCCATCATGCAGTTATGGATTTGTATGAAGAGTTTTATTGGATGAAAAAACTCCACTGAAATGTAAATTTTTATCAGAAAATTATGCACATAATTTATAGCACATGATAGAGTCATTTATTGGCTTAATTCTCCTCTGTACAATTTGACATAAACCTCAGGGAAGAGGATTATATGTCTACATTTTAACATCAAACGCCCCATTTTCCCCAGAACAAAGGCACAAGCTGTGGTCCTTGACATGTCAAATTGCCTACTCCATCTCAAACATTCTTAAGGCTATCTTAAATATTTGCTTATTCATATCAGGGCAGACTGCAGGGAGCGGAGACATGAAAAATGACTGAATATATTTTAGATAAGGATAGAAAGCAGAATTTTCCGCAGAGTTTCAATGGGTAATACATCATAAGGGAAAATTCTGATATAATTTATTGAAAGCATGCATTCTATTCAAACCCCCCACAGGTATTTATTGTTTTGATCTAACAAAGAGCAGACAATATCTAAAAGAGCATTCCCACAGCATGTCACTAGTGTATACAATGAACAAAGAAAGAACAACAGTGACACATGTACAAACATCTAGTAGAATATAGGCCACAGAGCACAGCAGCAAGGGAGATGTCAAAACACTAAAGAGTATTTGTGGATACTGGTAAACTGTAGGAAATGTAAGCAGCATCCCCTGGTTCTATATGCTCAAAGCAGAGAATTATAGCCATAAATATTCATTCTAGTTTGCTTTATCAAATATTAATATTTTTGTTAATTACAAGCAAATTATATCAAGTTAGGGTTGGCCGTACACTACTGCATCCCTCCATCTCCATATAAGGACTCCTCAGTGGGGATCAGATCTTTACCATCGCTGTTCCTATCTCTGCCAGGATCTTCAACATACACAATAGAGTCTTAATACAGATCGATTAATGTAAGTTGAAAATACTGATACTATATGAATTTACCTTCACAATTATTATTATTATTATTATTTTTTTTTCATTAAAAAAAAAAAAGAATTAATCAAAACATACCCAGAGTTGTGTTTTGTTTCATTCAAACATGTTTGAGTAATTCTTTATAATTAGATTCAGGTATGTTTTTGATGAGGAAACAGAATTATAACTTAGATCAGAAAATAGTGAAATATTAGCCCTTTAATATAAAAAGTTGACATTTAATATGAAAAGCTGAAGGTCTGCAAAATTCAAGAGAAATCTGCCAGATGAATTGTTGAATGATTGAATGATTACAGTCCATTGTGCAATACTCAGCCAGCACATTTATAGGTCATTTTCAGCACACTTCTGATGGATTACAAACATTTGAATTGATTATTATAACTGAATGAATAAAGAAAAGTAGAGATGGTCCATTTTTGTCATTATTCCCTTTCAACCGTCACCAGCAACACAATATTCCTTTCTCCCACCATTAAATACTGTATGGCAACAATATCACTGTACGTTCTGAAAACCTCTAATAGCTTTAATGTTCACCTGTGAGGACCTGTGGAGTGGCTGAGTGCGGCACCAGGGCAGCGTCCTGTGGGAGAGAGCCCATCTCTGGCTCAGGGGTGCTGTTCGGGGGAGAGTTAGCCAGCGGGGACAGCAGCATCCTGGGCTTCAGCTGCACACAAACACACATAAACGCACACACGCACACACACACACACACACACACAGGAGATACACATGAATACACCGATCATATCAGATAAGAAGGTGTCACTTTCATACCGCTGCTTATTGAGCTTCTCACACACAAAGCAACAGGAATGCATAAATATTTTAGTATAAAAAAAGAGGAAATCAACCATGGTTTTGTAAAAGAAAAACATCCCAGTATGTAACTCATTAAATATGTATCTGAGCTTTGAGGCTGTTTTCAAAGAGTCTTTTGTTTTGTGCAAAACTGAAAAAACAACAACAAAATCAGCAATTGACAGATTCCTAGATATATTATGAAAAATTTATTTGTCTCCTATACTAGTAAAACAGAATCAGAAAACATTTATTGCCATTGTCAGTGCCATGAAAAAGCCAGGAATTTGCTTTGGTGGTATGCTGCAACATAAAACAATGAAAAATTATACAAAATATATGTGCTATGATAAAATAGAGAGAATAGAATAAAATAAACATGAGCTCTTAATTAATGGCACAGATAGTGGCTAAATGTAACTATAATTAACTTAAATACATTCATACAATATGTTTTAATGAAACAACAAAGATTCACAAGCATGCATGTCCAGAAAAATAAAAAATGTTGCTCCAGTCTGAGGGCATTTGAGGTAAAAGCTATTCTAAATCAATATGCAAATCACACTGCACACTGAGAGGAAGATGTGAGCTGTGGTGGGAAACAGAAAGGTCAAAAGGAGAAGATATGTCTTGTAAGCTAAAATCACAGAGATATAGAGCCTGCTTCCTGTCTCTGAAAATACAGCAATATGTTTACAGTTACATATTTGACACTTTGACGTGATATAAATGCATAAAGTAACGATAATTTTAGGGCTGAGTGATCAAGATTTTATTTCCTCATGTTGATCCATCACAGGTTTCGGTTTTATTATGTTTTGTATTATTAAAGCATATAACTATAACTTCCTACAGAATGTAGACAAGAATTTGAAAAAAATAATAATTGCCTATTAAAAATATAATCATAGCCTATTAACAGAAAAAAGTCAAACAATTCTCTCTAGTCTAAAATCAAACCACGTGCTTTTACCAACTGAGTATGGGCTGCAGATCTGTCGATTCAGACCCAAGAGGATCACTGACAATTAAATGACTGAATCTTGATTTAAATTGAATTGCAAAGTTCTACGATTTAAAGAAAATGCTGACCTTAAAGCCTGGTTTCCTGCCTCTTTTCTTGGGGATCTTGATGGGGGTCACTGTCTCCACGTAGCATCTCTCATATTCCAGTTTACGTATGGGGGGTCTTCCTCTCTTCCTGCCCGGGACCTTACTCTGACCGCTGGTTATAAACTGTGGGCTTAAAGCGGGGGTCTGCATATCCGCGGCAACTGCAACTGAATTCATCTGACCTTGAGCTGTGACAAGACACAGATAGGTAATTTCAATGAGCAGGAAGTGGCGAACTGACACAGCCTTTATCTGGAACGGAAAGAGTCAAGTGAAACTTAGAGGGAAATAGTGCTAGACAAAGCCACATAAAGCTCTGAAGCCCCTCCCCCATCCACAGCTGCAAAGATTGTAATAAATATCATTACTGCAGAGAGACAAAGCAGGGAGACCCACTACTCCTACACAATCTAACAATCAATCAAGCCTCACTCCTCTCACTCTCTTTCTTTCACTCTCTGTTTCTCTCTCTCTCATGCCGCCTGGTTACGCTGCAGAGGAGTTTGACATGACAGAATTCAGATCAATCATGGAATACTTAAACTGTCTATTGAATGACTGCACCAGCACCACACACGTCCATGCTTACAAAGCTCTTTAGTTACAGTAGCAATTTGCTTCAGCCATAATTTAAAAGTAAATGTATTGACAATTCAGTAAATTTGTCAGCTACAGTGCACTTACAAATAGTCTAATGAAGTACATTTCGCCTTGATATAATTTTAGAATAAATTATCAGAAGACCAAATTAACCTTATTAGACTATTACAATAAATATTACTACTATCTATTTAAATAATTCTAATTTTGAATAGCAATTTCTACTTCTCTCTAATTTCTTCTTTTCTAAATTGTCTTAAAATGTTACATACCCATCAGCGGCAGTGATTTTCATGCACCATATCCACAAGTTGCAAATATTACTGTTTTAGCCCAAAAAAGCCAGAGAGACCTCAGTTTACCCTTTTAACGCTTCATGATTAAAGCTTTATACCAATTTTCACTGCCAATGTAACTTTAATTATAAACCTAAACAACATATACAAATACATGCAGTTTTGTGTATACGTTGTCAATACTAATGAATGAATATTATGCCTACCACCTCTCAGTCTGCTATCCTCAGTTATCCCCAGGGCGTTTGGACTCTGTCCGTGTGACGCTACTGCTCCTCTGCCTCTGCACACCTCTCTCTCTTCTTCTTGTCAAGATGCCGGTAACTCTGCCTCCTCCCTCCCTCCTCCTCCCCTCCTCACCAAAACCAGCCCAAACCCCCCTGTCCCCTCTGTGTCGCCATAGCAACACGCCTCTAACATCCCAGAGCAGCCAGCCAAAGTGCTGTGCTCAAAGCAATGTGTGTGTGTGTGCGCGCGCCTGTATGTGTGTGTGTGTGTGTGTGTGTGTGTGTGTGTGTAGGGCTCTAATGTAATTACAGTTGCTGCAGCTCAGGATTTTTCTTTTTGGTCTAGAAAAAATGAAAAGCCTGAGCGGGTGACAAGGGATTCACGCTGTGCTGTGTTTTGTGTTACAAGATTTGAAATTATACTTTGTAATCTCCACTGTAAACACAGACAACAGGAATTAAATTTAGGATCCAAAATGTATAGCACATAGTATGATATGTGTAATAATCAAACAAAGCTTCTGCTGTATCACCTCCATGTTATTTTGGCCTTGATGTGCTGTCTTAATTTCACTTTAACCATTCATCAATCTCACACTGAAGGACAATATACAAATACGATGGCTACTTGAAAATAGCCTGTATTTAACAGGAATTGTATTGTAATCTAATTGGTTTTGTCAGTAAGGTCTCTTGTGTTGTTAACTTGCTAACACTTATTACGAAACTTAAAGATAGAGTCCATAGACAGTCCATCTTAACTGCATGGAGATGTTATTGCTTTGCCTAGAATAATAGGCCTACACAGTGTGGCATTAAAGTTATCTGTCTCCATGTTACAGGTCAGATCTGGGGAGACGGGAGTAACAATGCCATTTTGATCAATCAAAACACCTGTAGTGAAATAAGAGCTTTTTAAAAGACATACTGTGGAACATTCCAGGTAAAACATAACATTAACATGGAGACACAAGTAAGTGGTGGATATTCCCTTAGAAAAGTTACATTGTACGCTTTGAAAGCGCAAATAAATTGGATCAGGTATTGAATCAAGTATAAAGAATACTGACTAACTAAAACCAATAAACAATTCAAGAAAGACTGCGGTGTGGACAGTGTGAGAGCCCCTGCCTTTTGAACATAACTTGGATCTCAAATGGTTTGAGGGTCTTTTAAAATAATTTTAGATTTTCTCAAAAAGGTGAAGGAATTGATTTCCCTGGAAAATCAAAGATGTGGTGTTGCCCTGCATGATAGCTCTTCTATTTTAGTTTGTGATAAAAGATCAAAAATAATGTCAGGCTTGGATGTTTTTATGCCTTATGTCAGCTGAGGTATGCAGGTGTGTCAACCTCACTCACCAAAAGGCCCAGAGAGTGCCTGCTATTCCAATGCCAATATTAAAAAACATACAATTCCAGCCAACAGATGTAAACTTCATGCATTCCCTCACTGCTGCTCATTGATTTGTTTTGCTCAGGTTTACAGTGAAAAGGGGAGCTTGTGCAGGTTTTGCTTGCATGGGTTTCCACACTCAATCAAAATGAGGTTAACCTTTGAGGGGGGATCAAGCGGGTGCTGCGGGCGTGTAAAGGGATTTGTCAAGAGTCCAATGCAGGAAGCACAGCTACACTTTAACCACCTGATGTGACAGAGCAGACAAATCACAGCGTTTATTACACACAGGCGCACAGGTCATCGTGAACAGGACAAAGGAAGGTGCAGGACAGTTAGATAGCAATTGTAAGGGGAGCTGGATTCACTGTTTAGTCATGAGTTTCAGTTGCAGATGCAGACAGTTCTGAAAATAATGCCCTGTGTTTTTTTGTTTGTCTTCATGACTGATATGATACAGATTTATTTTTTATTCAGAGCGATAAACTCTCCCAATTCTGAGACTGATGGTTAGACAATTTGGTTTATGTTCCACAAGGTTATATAAAACACTAACCTAGCTCACGCCAGACTGATATATGTGTCGCACTGTGTAGAATGGAGTTCAACACATAATCAGTCTGAAATGGCTCTCACTGAAAGTGATTTTAAAACACAGAACATCATGATGATTTTTTGAATCTGATTGGTCAAAGCTTCACAAAAGCAGAACAAGCCAAAAATCTGACTTTAGTTACATCCAGTTGCCTGTCCACAAATGCACTAAGCATATACCTTCTGCAGATTTTTCCCAAACAAAATACTCTGTTTTGATGCTAATATAGGCTGAAGTATGTAGAGTTTGTGAACACACTACCTTGGTTAATAAAACCTGAAATTAATTTAAAACTATATGTTATTGCCTATAGTGCATAATAGTGTAGCCTATTCAGAGGACGTTTTAAGAAGCAACTGAAGTACTAGTGCTAATGTCCTCTACACAGGTTATGTTAAACACTGGTCACCCAGGTTCAGTTGTGATTGTAATTCCTGTTTTAAAACCATAAGAGTGCAGGCTACATACAGAAAAATCAAAACAGACTAAAGAAACAGTCACTAAATGGTGTGTGACAAATCTTCAGTAATTCAGAACCCTGGTTTAATTTGAGCTGACTGTGAATGCAACTGTGTGTCTTTAAAAGAGTCATAAATCACAAAAAGTAATTATGAATCCAGATTAATTCAGATCTTCCCCCTAAATCAGTGCCACCACATCACGCAGCAGTGCAGATAATGATCTTTAGCTTAAAAAGGGAGAGGATATGAGAAGCAAAGTCCATTAACAACTGCCTAACAGTGCTATTTTTCAGTCTGCAAATCAAGGCTAGGACGTGCCCCACTGCGCCACCGCACCCAAACACAACACATTTGGAACAGTAGCTTAATTTGTTTATGGTTAATTAAGCAATTAGGCACTCACTGAACCCCTCTGCTCAATTTCACGCCACACAATGCTAACAGATATCAGCCTGACTTTGTAAATGATTTGAAGTCAGTGGGAGGCTTCAGTAATGGCCACAGTGATACAACAATGATCAGTAGCGATTAGCATAACTTTATTAATGTCTTTGGGGGGTGGAGATTTGTATTCATTTTCACTTTTGAGGAGGAGTGTATTGGAATGGGTTTCGCTAATAGGACGCAGAACATAAGAAAAACAAAGTGGTTGCTTTGCCGACGGAGAAATAATTGCATTTTAAGACAGAAACTTCAAAGGACAAACCCACCCCCCACTCGGAAGCAGAGCACATTGAAGTCGATGGAAAAGCATATTTGCTGTTTTCTCTCTAATCAATGTTGCCGTGTAACAAACCGCCTGAATTTATTTACAGCTCAGGCAGGGGTCGCCATGGTAACAGACGGTGAAATCGGATCCTGCGCCAAAGTCGTGTGGTAAGGTGGGAATAAATAAACACATAAGCAGCAGCCGAGTGAGTATTAAATGGGCCTCTTCAGATTCACACACACACACACACACACACACACACACACACACACTGATGGCCCCTCCTCACATCTCCTCTGAGGCCCCTCTTAACACAGCCCTGCTCAAGAAAGGCAAGGTGAAGTGCTCTGCTCTCTTTAACAGCAGAGGGTCAGAGGAACAATGAGAATATTTCATAAATCACATTAATATGCAAGACACACCATGGAAAGCTTTTTAATATATAAAGAGTTATGGGATGTGCCGCTTTCTTAGGGAGCTTCTAGACTACAGGGCGCTATAGGCGTACCATAAAATACAAGGGACACTCATAGGAGTTTTAGTTCCCCTTGCGAAATGGTAACATCCCACAGTGTACACCTAATCGTAATATTAAAAATTCAGGTCCAGTCAAATGAAGCTCACAGAGGCTGTTAGTTATGAGGTAAATTTGGAGCCAAATTCCATATTAAGAATAGGAATTAATTTACTGACAAAACAGTGAGAAAAAAACAAAACATAAACAGGATCATGTGAAGCTGGTTAATACGAACAGTTTAAGGCCAAAATGAGGAGCCTGACAGAAGAAGTTACAGAGAGAGGGGCAACAGTTTCTCAATACAATACATGAAGCGTGGCCATGCTTACTTCCTATTTGGAATGCGGCGGTTAGCGGGTTAGTTTTGTCCATTTCTATATACAGTCTATGGTTCAGAAGACAGTTGGCATATACCTTAGTAAACCTACTCCGATCTCTTTATAAATGGCATGAAAACAAAGAGGTTCTCAAA